ATCTCGTAGATGAGAACCCCCAGGGCCCACCAGTCCACAGCCTTGTTGTAGCCCTGGGGTGGAAAGGGGGTGCAGGATGAGGGAAGAAGGGTGAAGAAGGGGCACAGGCGGAGTGGGCCTCAGGGACGGGGGAGGGGTGGGAGGAGCCTACTTTGCTCAGGATGATCTCAGGGGCCAGGTACTCGGGGGTCCCGCACAAGGTCCAGGTGCGGCCTTTCACACGCTTGGCGAAACCAAAGTCTGTCACCTGTGGGCACAAGAGTGGGGTTGGTCGAGAGCGAGGGAGAGAGGGTCCAGGCCATGGACACCTGGGGCTGTCCCTTGCCTGGCCCAGCGGGTACCTGAATGTAGCCCTGCTGGTCGATGAGAAGGTTCTCTGGCTTCAGGTCCCGGTAGATGAGATCGAGCGAGTGCAGATACTCGAAGGTCAGGACGATCTGGGCGGCGTAGAAGCGGGCATGGGGCTCGCTGGCAGGGACAAGTGGAGAGGGGATGAGTGAGTGTGGTGGCCACACTCACCCAGCAGGACTCACCCGTCCCCAAATGGTCTATCGGGTGGGCCTACAGCCCAGCTACCCAAAATGTGTAAGAGGAGAAGCCTTATTCATACAGAGCTCCAAGCAGGAACGAGCCCAGCTGTCCATCAACAGAGCCATGGTGTCACAGACTGTGACAGATTCAATAAAATGCTATCCACCACCACCATCAGGACACACGGATATGCTCAAAACCATGGCTAGATCTCAAAACAATGATGTGAAGAGAAGAAAAGGACAAAAGAATATGAACTGTGTGAGGCCATTTATATCAAGTCCAAACCTAGACCAAACAAATTCTATGGTGTTTAATGCCAGAAGGGACAATTGCCTTTTTCAGGGTGGTGATCTGCCAAGAAAGGCATTAGCGCAGTGGTTCTCAACCTTCTGGCCCTTTAAATACAGTTCCTCATGTTGTGACCCAACCATAAAATTATTTTTGTTGCTACTTCATAACTGTAATGTTGCTACTGTTATGAATCGTAATGTAAATATCTGATATGCAGGATGGTCTTAGGCGACCCCTGTGAGAGGGTCGTTTGACCGCCAAAGGGGTCGCGACCCACAGGTAGAGAACCGCTGCATTAGAGGGATTTTTTCTGGGGTGATGAAATACTCAATATGGTGTTTTGGGTTGTGGTTAAACAAACGTATGCAACTGTCAAAACTCATGGAACAGAACAGTGACCTGTGCATTTTTATTGTATGTAAAGTGAACAGCTATCTGATTAAACAAAATAAAACAATAGCATACATTTAAAAACTGCATAAAATCACCCCACTGCTCAGTGATTGAGCATCAACCCATGAATCACGGGGTCCCCGGTTCGATTCCTGGTCAGGGCACATGCCTGCGTTGCGGGCTCCATCCCAGGTGGGGGGCATGCAAGAGGCAGCCGACAGATGTTTCTGTCTCATTGATGTTCCTATCTCTCTAAAGCCAATAAAGACACATAAAAAAAAAAACCCTGCATAAAATCGCCAACTTAAATGGTGATACCTGTTACTATGTTTGTTTTGTTTCACGGTGGTTGGGTGGTTGAGACATTGCAGGTTCCTCAGCTCAGGGGGAAGGAGAACCCACAGGGACCTGGAGAGGCTACCTCCGAGTCCCCAGATGGCTTGGTATGTGACATCGCCCGTGGACACCCCCAGGCTGCCCCTGGTGGGCTGGGGCAGTCCGCTCACCTGAACCTGCCGATCCGCCGCAGATGTGAGAACATTTCCCCGCCGGGCACATACTCCATGACCATGTATAAATTTGAGTTATCCTGTGGAGAGCAGCAGCTGGTCAGGGCCCTGCCCCCCAAGCCCTGGGCCCCACCCGAAGGTCCGATGCCCTTGACCAGCAGGAGTTTGGAAACCGGTGACAACACCAATCTAGGCTCCAATATGAGGCACATGCCAAGGACCAGACACTGTACTCACTGAGCTCCCTATCTCACTTCCCTCTGCGCATGAGGACAAAGGGACAACTATTATCCTGCTTGTGGGGGTGGGTGGTGAAAGGGAGGGCTGGCTACAGGTGCCCGGGCTGGAGAGGGGACTTCACAGTCTGTGACTGTCCTGAGCAAGGCTCTCGGTCCACCGTTTTTTTTTATCACAAAATAGAACCAGGAGAGGCTACAGAATTTGTGCCCCACCCCCTGCCAAAAAGTGTCTCCTTACTAAAACAATGATTATGAATCTCAAGATGGCAGCAGTAGAGCATGACACCAAGCACAGGCCCTTGTGACTGCCTGGGTGGCAGGCCCCAAGTGGACTTTCCCAACTCTCAAAGTCCAGCTTAGAATGGCCCCCAAAATAGCTCACATAGGGTGCTCATGTGTCATGGAAACCTTTTGATCCCCAGTTTACAGATGAGGAAACTGAGACTCAAGTGAAGTCCTTCGCCAGGGTCACATGGGCAGGGGGCGCTGAGCTGGGATTTGAACCCAGGCCACATGTCAGGTTTTTGTAAACAGAGCGGTGATTTTGAGGGATGTCATCCAGGTTGACTGACATGACCACACAAGGTTATCAAGTAGACAGGCCTAGGAGTTGAACGTGGGTGTATCAGAATCCCAGGCTGATCCTCCTTTCCTCATCAGTGGCGAGGGGGGGGGGGGGGGCGCCTCACCTTCCAGGGGAGCCACTGATTGTCCTCAGCCCCCCGGCCTGGTTTTCCCTTCTGCCCCCTCTATTCCCCGATGGCTGGGACCCACCTTGAAAGAAAACTCAAGTTTGACAAAGGAACCGGAAAGTTGACAGCCTGCAGGATGCGCTTCTCATTCAGGGTGTGCTCGATCTGTTTCAGCTTCACCACCTAGGAGCAGGAGGGGTGTGGAGAGGAGGAGGTATGAGAGGGCCCTCGTCCCCCAGGCTGGTTTCTGTGAGGGTTTGTGGCCTGTGGAGCCAGGTGGGGTGCTGAGGACACAATAAGAAGGCTGAGGCTGCCTGTCCCCATGTGGCAAGAACACGAGTCACCAGTCTTTTCAGTGCAGAGGGATCTGAGCTGTGATGGGGGAAGTTCAGGGCTTGCGGATGCCCAGATGAGGCACGAGGTAAAGTCTGGGGCAGGGGTAGTCAGAGAAGGCTTCTTGGAGGAAGGGGCAGCAGCGGAAAGACAAGCAAGAGCAGTGCCAAAGGAGTAGGGGGTTTACAAAAAACTCTGCATCTAGAGCACTCACACACACATACCCAAACCCCAAGCTAATTTCTCCTCAGCCCTCAGCTATCTCCAGCAGGCCCTTCGTGCACAGTGACTGAAGCCCTGAGGGGTATGTACTGTGAACACACAGGCTTGGAAGCCCAGAGAGGGGCAATGACTTGCCTAGGCTGTGGTTGGCAAACTGCGGCTCGGAGCCACATGCGGCTCTTTGGCCCCTTGAGTGTGGCTCTTCCTAAGCCTCAGGAGTACCCTAATTAAGTTACTAACAATGTACCTACCTATATAGTGTAAGTTTAAAAAATCTGGCTCTCAAAAGAAATTTCAATCGTTGTACTGTTGATATTTGGCTCTGTTGACTAATGAGTTTGCCGACCACTGGCCTAAGGTCACAGGCCAGCTGGTGTGTCACACACAGGCAGCCTGGCTGTTCAGCCAGCTCTGAACCCCTGTCTGGGGCCTTTTTTGCTTTGCTCACAGCTGTATCCTTTGTCTATACCTGCACTGCCCAATGCCATCCACACCAGCCATACATGGCTGTTGAGAGCTTTAATGCGGCCGGGAGACTGGGGAACTGAGTTTAAAATGATAAATATCTAAAGTGAAAATTTAAAAACTGACACTTGACACAGTTACTAGACATCTTTTAAGTCTGTCTGGAACAACTTGGGCTATGCCAATCTTGCCTTTTCAACTCTCTACTTTTTCTTCTCTTTCCTTTAAAAATTTAACATCAGAACAGAGATATGTTGTAAAGTGTAAAATGCACACTGGATTTCAAAGACTTGGTACGAAAAAAAAAAGTAAGATGCCTCATTAATGATATTTTACATTGGTTACATACATTGAAATTATAATGTAAATATACTGATTTAATTACAACATATTGTTAAAATGCATTCCACCTGTTTCTTTTATTTAATGGGGCTTCTAGAAAACTTAAAATCATACGTGGCTTATATGACACTTCTACTGCGCAGCAGTGCTTTTGAGTAGTGACTGGCATAAGTAGGGTGTCAAAAATATTCACAGAAAACAGGCCTGTGTAAATGCCACCTCCTCCAGGAAGCCCTCCAGCCACCTGGAATACAGGTTAGGTGTCGGACACTGTTTCCAGTGCCTGATTTCCCTCGGTATTCGGCCTGGAGGGGAACTTCGTGGTGCCCTCTGGCCCTCAGGTCTGGCACATGATGGGGGCTCGAGAAGCAATTGGTGAGTGGATGGATGGGAAGAGCACTCCAGGCAGCAGGTGGGATCTGGCCGCAGGGCAGAGCTGAGCTCACCTTTTGTTTGTCCAGGATCTTCATGGCGAAGTGGTTCCCAGTCTCCTTGTGTTTCACCAGCATCACCCGCCCGAAGGAGCCTGTGCCGAGGGTCTTGATTCGATCAAAGTTATCCAAATTGGCTGTATTCTGTGGATGGAGAGGTTGAGAGAGTCAGGGACCCTCTTCCCTGTGGCCGGCTGGGCCAACGTCTGGGGCATCCTATCTGCCACCAGCAGAGGGGGCCCTGGGGAGCAGGGAGAGTGATGGGGTGAGAACAGGGGGCAGAAAAGCAAGATGGCGGAGGGCACATTCCTTGAGGCGAGTGGCAGAGGCCAGATCTGGCCCTGGCCTGGGGCCCAGGAGCTGCTGGCAGCTGTGTGGGGGGCAGGGGCCACCAGCTGTAGGGGGTGGTAGGATGGGGGAGCCTGGCAGTGGGCAATCAGGTGCCTCTGTCTAGGAGCCTCCGAGGGTGTCCAGGCATCCTCCACAGGGTTCTAAATCCCAGCCATGATGCAGGGGTTACGCTGGAAGATGGAGGCTATTAGCTCACCCCTTCAAGGGTTCCGGACATAGGGTGGGTGGCTGGGGGTGGGCTTACCTGATCAGGATTTTCCCATTTTTTAAGAAAATCTTCTTTGGCTTTGGCTAAGAACTCTTTCACTGGAAGGAAGAGAAGGGAGAGTTAGCTAGACACCCCCCATGTCACTGGGGCAGGCCCAGGGTGTTCCTGGGGAGATGCTCATTTGTGGAAAGTGGGGTGCAGCTGTTTCAACCAGAGTCTGATCTTTTTTCCCACTAGGGCCTTTAGGTGCCCTGGCTGAGTCTGAGGGCAGCTTGGGAGGGGCGTGATCTGGGCTAGGGCCTGGGTCCCCTTTACTACAGGGAGGTGGGATCCAGCCTCAGCTCTTCCAAAATGGGGTACAGAGCAACTCGGGGGTCACTCTCAGGGGGACAGAGGGCAGTACCCAGGCCAGCCCACCCCCACTTGTCCCAGTTCTGACCGGCATTCCACGGCCAGGGAGGGCCAGGGAGGACGCCAGCCGAGGTATTTATAGCCTCAGGATTTGGCTGTTCCTCAGGCCCCTTCTCTGGGGAGGCCGGTCGGGGGGTGGAAGCCTCTGGGGCTCGGGTAGCAAGCGCCCTTGGGGGGCTCAGCTGTTGCCCTGTTCCTGCCTTTGCCAATTCAGGGGCCCTGGCTCCAGAGCTGGTTCAAGGGAGGCCTCGCTCTATGCCTGCTCCCCAGAGGCCCCTCAGTACCCCAAGAATATCACCATTCAGCTAATACTGAAGACTTCCCAGCGGGCTGACCCTGGGCTTGCTGTTTTGTCTCCACTATCAAATTTGGTTAACTCACCAAGTTTCCTTTTATTCTTCTCCCCATTTAACACTAGGAAACTGAGGCTTCGACAGAGTCATACTTGCCAGCACCCTGCAAATCATTAAGGGCCAGGACTCTGGAACTGAGATTAAGTTCAGACCCCAGCCTGGTTCTGCTAAACTGTGTGACCTTAGGCAACTGACCTGACCTCTCTGGGCCTCAGTTTTCCTCATCTGTAAAATGGGGAGAATAATAGTAATGACCTGGCAAAGCAGTTTTGAGGACTGAATGAGTTAATCTAGGGCAGTGGTCGGCAAACTGCGGCTCGCGAGCCACATGCGGCTCTTTGGCCCCTTGAGCGTGGCTCTTCCACAAAATACCACGTGCGGGCACACACGTACAGTGCGACTGAAACTTCGTGGCCCATGCGCAGAAGTCGGTTTTCGGCCTGGGCGAGTCTGTTTTGAAGAAGTACTGTTGATATTTGGCTCTGTTGACTAATGAGTTTGCCGACCACTGATCTAGGGAAATGGAGTTGGACAGTGGCCTGTATGAGGCTCATTCCATATAACTGTTGATTATTAATTTTGCTTTCAAGTATTTTTTATAATTGAGGTATAAAATACAGGGGATGCATTGAGCGCTCAAATCTTAAATGTGTGGCCTGACAGATGTGTACATTACGGACCTGTCCTAGAGACAACCCCATGCCTGGTGCCAGCCCTGAGCTAAATGCTTTCTATGCTTACGTCCTACCCCGATGGCTCAGAGTTGCTATTACCTCATTGTACAGAAGAAAAGACTGACCAGGCCTTAGGTGGCCTGCCAGACCCCACTGCTCACGAAATTAACTGCTTCCCTCCCGAAAGGTCGGAGTGAAGTCGGGTGGCCCACCGACAGACCTGTCCTCGACCCTCTGATGTTCCCGGACAGGTGCCACCCTGAGGGGTCCTGCACACTTGGACTCTGGCCTTGCCTGTCATTTGTGTGTCCCACCCATGTGCACCAGGAGTCCCACACAGCCTCTGGGTAGCCACCACCCCCACGATCCCCAAGGCTCTCCCTCAGCATTCGGATAAAAGAACCTCCCATGGGGCTACAAGAGCAGCAGATGGAGAAGAGATCACGGGCCAGGAAAGCCTTACAAAGAGTGACCGGGCAGAGTGAGGGAACTCAAGGAGTGGTCAGGAGTCCTAGGCTGGCGCCTGGCTGGGCCGCCAACTGACTGAGAGACCTCTCTGAGTCTGGGGCCAGCACCACACCCAATGCTCACACTAGCAGAATCTTTCCTGACACACCCTACCTTCCTTGGACACCTCCAATGTATACACTAATTTCTGAACGAAGGTGGGGGAGATGGTACCCTTTTGTAATTCTACCTTCACCCGCCCAGGAAGGTAGGGAGAAGTGGGCTTGTGAGGAGTCCAGAATGCCTGGTCCCACTTCTCCTTTCGCTCTCAGCCATCCCTGAAACTGCCATGTCCTGCTTTTCTGACTTGGGTACCCCACTGAGAGGCTCCACAGGGTGCCTTGGTCCTAGCGTAGCCCTTCTCTGTCCCCTTGGTGCCACTGGCTCGCAGATTTGGGGATGGGGCACAAGGGGGGGGCAGAGCCAGGAGGAACAGGCAGATACAGAGGAATAATGATGGGGTAACCCCAGCCAGGAGCCCCTATACTCACCTCTGCTTCCTGCCTCCTCCAGCAGAGGGTACAATGGGGATGGAGTGGGATGGGGTGATCTGGGGCCAGTCTGCCCCTGACCATGGAGACTCAGGGTGCTGGCTGTGGCTTAGGTGCCCAGAGGGCGCGGTGCAGGTAGCTCAGGAAACGAATAGTCAGGTGGGCCCAGAGGAATAGCTGCAGCCATAGCTGGAAGGTGGTCTCTGAGTCCCCACCCTGGCCATTGCCTGAACCCAGATTCATCCTAGGCTACCCTGGGAACCAGGGAAACCAGGAATATGCAGAGCTTCTGAGCTGGTTTCCTCGGGAGGGCCTTGGGGAACCCTGAAGGAGGAGCTGGTTGCTAGGGAAGCATTTAAAGGTGCCTGCTCCTGGCTAAGGTTTGCAAAGGCCCTCCTTGGCAGGAGGCAGTGGGAAGATTCTCCCTAGGATGTCCCTCCTGGCTGGCCTCCCTGCCCCGGGGGTGCTAACGCTAACTTATTCCAGGGACTTCACTGCTCCCAGGATGCCAGACCCTGCCTTCCCCAGGTGGGTGGACTACCCAGAGGATGGTACCTGATGTGCCCAGGGCAGTGCTCACTGGGCAGAGAAGGAGTTAAGGGCTTAGGCCCAGGCAGCAGCCAGGGACTCCTTGGGGGCTAGAGAGGCCCCAGGGCTCCATTAATTAGCAGAGAGTTGGGTTGGGTGTGTGTGTGTGTGGGTGGGGGTGGTGTAAGAGCCACCCTATCACCTCTCCAATCCTGTAGCCCCAAGAGAAATGGGTACATCAGGCTTTCTCTTTCTCTTGTTCCTATGCAGGGCGGAGAGTGGAACGGCATCCTGGGATGTCCTTGGCCTCTGTCAAACCTTGCCCTGTGCTTGGCTCTGCTCTAGGCCATGAAAGTCCAAACCGGAAACAAAGGCTAAACCCAGCGGTGGGGGAGGGGGAGGCTGCCTTGACCATCTTCCTCCTTTCCAGATCTCAAAAGAAGTGGATGGTGAGTGGCCGCTTCTCCCAGTGTGCCTAGCACCCGTGGCCCTTCAGACAACTGGAAGTGGCAGAGAAGGGAAACCCAGCCAGTTGCTGACTTGTGAAACATGCCGCCCTGCCCATGTCTTCCACGGGAGTAGGGGGTGGAGGGGTAGGGTGCGTGTTCCAGCCTCCATCCTGGTCTGGATTCGATTTGGGCTCATAAAGAGAACCCCAGACACCCTTCAAAAATCCAGGACTACCGCAGGAAGCAGGAGCCCAGTCTCAGACTTCCCAGACAAATCTCAGTACTCTCTGTCCACCAAAACCTGGCTGTCCCAGGAATTCTGGGGCAGGGATGCCAAGTCGGGGCTGGGACCCCCGACTCTGGGCTGGCTGATTCCTCCAGGCTAGCTTGGGTCCCCTGCTCTGAGCTGGAACATCCCCCAGTCTGAGCTGGACCCCAACACTGACTACCCCACCCCCATTCTGAAATGGACCTCTATTCTGGATGGGGTGGTCCCCTAGTCTGAGCTGGACCCCAACACTGGGCAGGACCACTGCAGAGTCTGATGGCTCCCCATTCTGTACTAGGCCATCTGGCCTGGACTCCATCTTAACATCCCCCCATTCTGACCTGGACTCCATCACTGAGCTGGACCAACCGCCATTCTGAGCTGAAGCCCAATACTGGGCGAGTCTATCCCATTGCCCTGCTCTGAGCTGGACCCCTGCTCTGGGTGGACCATACTCCCTTGTCTAACAGGGCTACCAATCCCCCCTGCTCTTCTCCAGGCCCCCAGCCCAGGATTGTAAGGGAGGGGTTCCCAGGGCCAACCAGACATCCACAGCCTTCTCCTCTCTGCCTGCTCCCCAAACCCTACTGCAGCCCGTCTCTGACTCCAGGGGCAGAGTGCTCGGAGAGTTGCTATAGCAACAGGGTTTAGTCTCACCATCGTTGAAGTTGGAAGCCATCACTCAGTCTTCCTCTCAAGGCACCAGAACTATGGTGGCTGAGAAGGCTCAAGAGACCTGCTGCACCAGCTTGGCTGCCCATCCCCAGATACCGGCCTATAGGGGGAGCCAGGGAGTGGTGTGTGTGTGTTGGGGGGGGGGGGGCAGGAGGAGGAGCCAAACCTGGGCCAGTAGGGGCAGGGGAGGGGCAGACAGGACCCTCAAGTTTCTGTCGGCCTGACTGGGTTAAGGCAAAAAGCTACCTTGGAAAGACCTTCTTAGGCACCCATACAACTGCCAATACACAGGTGTTTGACCCTCTTGCACTTCCGTAGGATGCTAGAAGGCAGCAATTCTTCCCATTCAGGGGCTTCTTGGGGGCACTTTTCACACCCAGAGCCTGGACCTGCTTGTCCCCAGGGCCTAGAATGTGTGTGTATGGGCTCCCTCTCACCAGCCCTACCCCTTCCCCCATGGGCCGGCTCCCAGGGGTGCTTTTGGCCAGTGCCAGCCAAGGCCTGAGCCCCACTTGGCTGCCTATCCTGGGAGCCTCTTGGGGCCATTGCTCTCTCTCAATTTCTCCAGCTTGCTCAGAGCCGGGTGCTAGGTTTTTTCTCTGCCCTTTCACCATCTTGTCCAGGCCCCTAACAATGGCTTTGGCATCTTTGGGTACAGATTGCCCCTACCCCACCTCACCCAACTCCAGGTAGATCCCCCGCTCTCTTGAGAGCAGGCTGACATTATCATGCCCTGGCACCAGGCGTAGGGGGCTGCAGGATGCCTAACTAGTGCCTACTAAGGCTTGGGCATTCTCCTTACCCCAGTATGGCTGGTGTCTGGCAGATGAAATTCAGGTGCCCCCTGCAGGCTGGCCTGGCTACTGCCCCTAACTCCCACCCTACCCCATCCTAGTTATAAGGGCAAATTTTGACTAACTCCATCCTTTGAGAATCAGAGTTCCAAGCAAAGTGGGGCTTCCTTCCTTATCCTATTTCTTTCTCTGAGAATCCCTGCAAGTCTCTGGAAGGAAGTACAGCTGAGAGCATTTCCCAATGTATGACATGGGTCCCACTGGCAGGGCATGAAATGATTTTAGGGATGTTTCACTATTCTAGTCACATTGCATTTCAATGTGTAGCAGGAAAGAATATAACTGGCACAGTAATCCCATGATATTACTGCTTAGGATGGATCAAAGTTTATGTCTGAACTTAAAAGTAAGTCAAAATTTTTACTATTTTAAATTAAGAAAATATAAATGAATAGAGTAAAAATCAGGGAGGTAACTTGCGAATGTCCAGGTTAGGAAATTCTGGGGTCCTGGAAGTTGACTGGTAGACAGATCGGAATGTGAATCCTGCTTCTGTGACATCATCTATGTCAAACTCAGAGTCATTTAGAAAATTCGGAAAATAGCCCGTTATGAAAATCACTCGAGTGGACAGATCTATGGAAACCATTTGGCTGGGCATATCCTAGATACCCAATAAATAGTGGCCCTATTCCACCGTGATGGTCCATTCCTGGATGTCCGCCCTGCGCTCTAAGAGAATTAGTGGTTCCTTCCGGAGCCACTGATCTTCTTCCCTGTACAGCTCCCCCCCCCCCCCCCCCCCCCGCACACTGCATGTGTTTGATATCCCTTGAAAGTTTTCCAGGACTGGGTCATCTCCCCAACTTTCAACTGAGCCACTGCAATATATAGCTGCCTGCCTCCACCTTCTACCTCCCAGGCCTCACCTGCTGGGGGCCCAGCCCCTCCCTGTGTGCCTAGTCCCCTCCAAGCTCATGCCCAGACTTTTTTTGGTCACTACCCACCTGCTCCTCTGTCATCAAGTACTCAGCTACAGGCACTTGCCTCCATATCCCCCGCCCATCGGTGACATGTCAGCCCTCCCCATGGCTGCTCAGCAACTCTGAGTTCTGCCATGTGAAAATAAAGTTCCTTGGTTTTCATATCAGGGTCTTTCTGGGAGGGCAAGTCAGGGGAGCCAGACACTGGGGATTGAGACCAATAACTAGGAAAGGCATATTTGGACGCGGCCTCCCTTTTCAGCTCTGACTATTTCTGGGTAATGGGAAGTGGATCCTAGCTGAGGTCCAGCTTTAGGCCTGGAGTGATGACAATCTAAGAACTGGAGGAATTGAGGAAGGGGATTGAGAACCATTTCTGAAAGCAGATACAGAAATTCTTTCTCTGGTTGGCTATAAAAGGCCAACACATTTTGTAAGGTGAGGGGGGAACAAGCCTCTTTCTGGCTGAGCCCTGGCAATGATCAGAATCTGTCCCTTGGCAAAGCAAGTCATTAGATGTCACCCATTACTCTCTCTGACTGCCATCCCCTGAGTCCCCTTTCTCACCATTCCAGCTCAAGCTGAATGAGCCTTGTTAAACTCAGACACTCTTCATCCCCCACTTTTCATCCTGAGCCAGGAGCGGGTGAGAAGCCCAGGGGACTGGGTGAATGACGGAGCCTCAGTTGTGAAACGACCATTTATTATTGAGGGGACCTCTAAGGAGCCTAGAGCTCACTGCACAGCAGGAGATGGATAAAGGCTCTGCTGCCATCCCCTAACCCCAACCAGGGAAGGAGGAAGAAACAAACCCAGCAAGACCAGCTCAAACTTGGCTTTGAACACACTGAAGCAGTTCTCTAGGTTCATAAACAGTCTGCTGCCCCAGCTAGGGACAGACACATGGGAGGAGAGAGCACAAGCAGAGAAGCAGAGTGACAGGATGAGAGAGGGGCAGAGGGACCCAGAATGATCCTGTCCCCCATGCCAAGTAACACAGAAGGGAAAAATAATGCTGGAGGTGGCTCTGGGAAAAGCTCAAGTGGGCACAGTGTGTTTGGAGGGGGGCTCTGGTAAGGTGAAGAAGGAAAGGGCAAGAGAAAGATGGCGGGGGCTGGAGGAGGGAGGGGTGTGGTCACCAAGTGGCCAAGGTCCCTATGGGATGGAGGCAGACCCCGCAGCACTCCCAAGACTGGCAGAAGCCTGGGTCAGGGTCTGGCCGTGAGGCCCGTCAATGGGAGAGGTGAGTGAGGAAGTGAGGGTATTAGTATATGGGAGAGGGTCCAGGAAAGTAGGGAATAGGGTAGTGACAGGGCCCCATGTGGGGCCCCAGCGGTCATACGTGCCATGGTTGGCAGTGACAGCTGGGTGGGGGGGCACAGTTTTTGCAGTGGGGGGTGGCCTTTGGCAAGGGGGCCCCTACGAGAGTTCTGCGGGTCCTGGGCCCTAACCTTGGACAGGCAGGGGGAGGGGGCGCTGGGGGTAAGCAAAAAGAAATGGGGGGAGGGGGAGGGGCCAGGCGGTGATGCACAGGGCGGGGGCTGACAGCGTGGGTCCGGTATTGAGGTCATGGCCTGGAGCACTCACCACTCTCCTGCTCGCTGCCCTTCTTGGGCGGCGGCGGCGTTGCCCATCGCGGCGGCGGCGGCCGGGGCCGGTCCCGGAGCTGCGGCGCGGCGGGTGCTGGCGGCGGCCGGCGGCCCCGGAGCGCGCTGGGCAGCGGCGGCGGCAGCGGCCCCTCGGGTTGCTGCTCTGGCTGCGGCGCCGCGACCCCCGCCAAGCCCCTGCTTCCCGCGTCTCCCCGCGCCCGCCCGCCCGGGAACCTCAGCCCAAGTCCGCTGCTGCTGTCTGTCTGTGACGCTCCCGCAGCCTAAGCTCATTGGTCCAGGCTGCCCTGATTGACGGCGCCACGCTGCCGCCTATTGGCCCTCTGCGACCCACCAGCGCCGCTATAGGTTCCAGCCCCGTGACGCGCGCCGCGGATGCCCGGCCACTGGCGCGCTCGCGAGGCGCCTATTGGCTGCAGTTGGCGACAAGGCCCCAGGTTCGCCCAGGGAGGCCGCCAATTGGCCGGGCGTGCGGTTCGGCCAGTCCCCCCACAGAACGTTCAGTGTCAATCCCGGGGTGAGAGGGCGGGGCGGAGGCGCAGCTTGCAGTCGGGGCGGCGAGGCGAGGCGGGGCGGGCCGGGGCGGGGCGGCCGAGGCTGGCGGATGGCTGCGCCGCGCTTGGAAAATCAGGAGGCGGTCCAGGCGGGCGCCTGCCCGGCCCCGTGCACGCCGCAGTCCCCCGCCTCCGCTCAGTGCGGCAGCGGCCGCGGGCCAGCCAAGGTTGGCTCCACAGTCCCCCCTCCCCCGGCGCAGTCACTGTCCACCTGCCAGCGGGGGAGGGGAGTGGCGCCGCGGGTCAGAGGTCGCCGGGCCTCCGGCCTTCGTCATTCATAAGGCCCGGCGAAGGCTAGCTGCCGCAGGCCCGGGGGTGGGGCTGGGGCTCCTGGAGGATGCTGGTCCTGGGGAGCAAGGGGCGATTGGGAGGGAGCCCTCAGTGTCCGTCCCGTTGCCGGGCGCCCACACTGGGCTCGTGCCACTCGTTAAGTACATTACTTCTCAACAAGCCCTGTCGCGCAGGTAGTATTATCACTCCCATTTTACAGATGAGGTATCGGGGCAGCGACAGCCTGAGGCTTCTGTCTGGGCAACGCAGAGGGAATCTGCCTTCCAGGAATTAGCAAGATGCCCTTTTCATACGTCTACCCGTGTTTCCCACTGCCACACCACTGACATTTGGGGCCTGATCATTCTTTGCTGGGAGGATTGTCTTGTACAGTAGAGCAAACCCCCACCCCCAACCCCGTCTAGCTGCATTCCCAGTTTCTCTACCCACTGGACGCCTGTAGAACCTCTTTATCCTGCACCAGATGTGACAACCAAAACCATCTCAACATTGCTAGATGTGCCCTGGGGGGCAAAACTGCCCCCAGTTGAGAGCCACTGAAGCAGGGGAAAGCCCAAAAAGGAGGCGGTCAGAGGGGCAGGGGACTGGATGAGCCAGCTCTCCCTAACTTGGAGGGGTTTAGGAGGTCCTAAGTCTACCAGCCAGCCAACTCACTGCTCTGCCGATAAGTTTGTACAACCTGCACTCTACCCGGCTGCTGTCTACACCCATCTTCCTAGCTCAACTACAGTCTCAGGAGGGGAAGAGTTGGGCTTTTATGTGAATTATGGGGAAATGGCTCACCAGCCAAACCACTCCAGCTCTGGCTGTGGGTTTACAAAGAAAGGTTAAGTAAAAGTTAATAAAAGTGTTGCTGTGTCCTTGGAGTACAATGTTAATTTCTTTCTGTGGGTCAAGGTCAACGTCTGAACAAAAACACCACTGGTTATGTTCTACAACAGCTGCATTGCTTAAGCTTCAACAAATAAAAACCCCTTTCCAAATCTCAGTCTGGATTACAAATATACAACCAATTAGGACTAGAGCAAGGAGATAAGAGGCAGTCAACCCACTGGCCAAGGCAAGAGGACCCCCACCCCATGTTCCAAGGAAAGATGGACAAAGCTGCCTCAGTTCATCTAAGACAAAAGCAGAAACAATCAGTCTAGATGAAATGCATTTTTAGGTCAACCAAACATATTTAATACAAAAACCTTTTAATATACAAACTGTAATCAACAGCATCCACATAGCAGCGAAGGGATGGGGAACATGGCAGAGGAAGGTGGTTTTCAGGGTCCCTACTCTTTCCCATGCCTGCAATCACTCCGTAGCCTGTGAGAGCATAAGGTCTTAGCAGAGGGCAAAGGCAGCCAGAGGCCCTGATGCCAAAACAGACAAAGCCTGGTCGGCTGCTCCAACAGTGGCAGCCTCCAGGGAAATCCAGATCCAGTTAGGAGGTAACAAGGAGGTGGTTGTGACTGAGAGGAGAATCAACCATTATTCCTCAGCATCCAGCTGATCACACTTTTGTAAACAGAGTTTTCCAGGGGCTGCTGGATTGAAAAGACCTAAAAATTGTTCTGGGAAAAGGACAGAAATTGTGTCCGAGTCTACCTTCTAACTCAGATTCCTTGACTCCAGAAAGCTGGGTGGATCTACTCAAATGTTTGGGAAGGGAAATGACAGAGCCTTTGGCCCAACAGGGCTGGAACCATTGACCAAGAAAGCCTCAAGGAAGGCCAGGGAGGTCTGTGGGAAGAGCTCTGGGTCAATGGTACTTACATGGGAGCCTGATGACACAATGGCTTACGTGTGGAAGAGAGAAAGGACACAAGTTAGAGAGAATTAAGAACTAAAGCACCTGCTTTTTATAGGCCGGGGCAGTAAAGGTGAGAGAATCTTTCCAGGCTGAGGTTGGGAGAGACCTGAGGCCCATTCTTTCCTCAGGGATCAACTTGATAGGCCTGAATATAGTTGATGGCCCCAAAGTCTTCCAGGTGCCCCCAGAGGACTCTCTGGGAGGCCTAACTGCCCCCTCCAGATGTGTTGGGAGACTGGCCATAGTCCTAGGCCCAGGTAGGGCCTGGAGTCCCCCAGTTAAGACCTCAGTTAGATGCAGTCCATGGAGTTCTCGGGGAGGAGGCCAGGGATGCAGCCAGGGAGCCCCAAGCCCTTGACAGGGGTACAGTTGATGGGGAGGCTGCAGCTTAGGGCAGGGTCCTGGTTCTCTATGGCCTCCAGCCTGTCCGTGTTGCTGTCCCAGTTGATGTGGAAACGGGTCACTCGGGGATTCGAGGCCAAGATGTTCCGTTGGAGCTGGGGCAGGAAGAGAAATGTCAACTGTCAGCATGCCCTCTCATTACTCCCACAAAGCCAGGGCACCCCTAGTCTCCCATCCCAGACCCATGAAGAGCAGACCTTGCTTATTCCATCACCAACAATATGTGTGGGACTCCAGGGAATGCCTGTGCACCATGATTTAGGGCCAGGACCTATCTAATCTTAATTCTGCAAGGCATGCTTCTGAGAAACAAAGACCTCTCTCTCTGAGCACTAGTTGAAAACTTTAAGTGACCTTGGCTCCTGAATCAATCCAATGACTCAACTCCCCCCAAATACAAAGGAGCCAGATGATCTAGAGTAGGGGTCCTCAAACTTTTTAAACGGGGGGCCAGTTCACTGTCCTCAGACCGTTGGAGGGCCGGACTATAGTTTAAAAAAAAACTATGAACAAATTCCTATGCACACTGCACATATCTTATTTTGAAGTAAAAAAACAAAACAGGAACAAATACAATATTTGTATTTGCATGTGGCCCGTGGGCCATAGTTTGAGGACCCCTGATCTAGAGCAGGGAGTGGAGAGCGACCCCACCTGAGAGAAGTCTGGCTTTGGGGGTGGGTTCTCCCGCAACTCTGGGTCGGGGTACTCATTGTTGACGTAGTAGCCCACACGGATGAACTCCTGCCCATGGTAGGTGCAGGTGATGAGGACCACGGTCACACCAATGGCGTCGCTCTCAGGGATGAGGGATGGGTTGGGAGCATCGGCCTAGGGAAAACACATCCTGAGCTTAGAACGGTCAGCTCTGAATTCAATGTTAATGAATCAACAATAATACCAAATGAGGTATTTAAACACACCTAAAACAAGGTTATGTGTTGACTGGTTGACAAAAATGTGAGATATAGGAACCTAGTCTTGTATGTCCTATGGGACCCTGGTTCAGTATTCACTAATACACTGTTCACAGCAGGTTTACAGAATGTAACTCCTGTGAATAATGAGGATCAACTGCGAATCCGTGGTTCATGGTAACAGTCATGACACAGAGATGGAGGAAAGAGAGGTGTTTGAAGTACCGTTGAGAGGTCAGACAGCTCTTGAGAACAGAGCGAGAATTTGAACCTGAACTTTAGACCACTAAACCACACTGTGTGCTTTTGGGTAGAAGAGGATGTTTCTAGGTGTCAAAGCCTAAGGCCTTTCTTACCTGAAAGACGAACATGTGTCTCCCTGCTGGGATAGGGCCGACCAGCACTGAGTCTAGGATTTGATCAAACTCCTCACTCTCAGCTGAGCCAACATAAATTATCTTCCATTCTAGGTCTGCAAGGACATAGGGTGTTAGGGAATTGAAATAACGTGACAGCAAGAAGGCAGAGAAAGGGTCTTCTCATGTTAGTTTTGGAGAGATCCTTAATATGGTGAAAGATTCTTATTCTCAACAACACCTGACATCCCCTGGGCACTGAGTGCCAGGCACTGCAGTCCTGAACACTGGGCAGGCAGGAAACTCTTACTTCAGTGGGAGTGGGAAATTTCTCCTGTGGGCCTAGCTTTGCCAGGCGACCTTGACTCTGCACCTCCAGGGAAACTCAGGCCTCTCAGGGCCTGAGGGCAAACCGTATGGCAGAGGCTGAATTAAGACCCACGTGACAGAGGCGTGCTGAGGAGGGAACAGCAGGGAGTTGGGCCATTTCAGGGCCCTGCCCACTGGGTACTGGGATAGGAAGCAGCATCCTCTTTCACACACAGGGACCGGTGCCACAAAACTAAGTAGATCCCTCGACAACTGGGGCAGGGCGGCAGATTCCAATACAGCAGGACAGCCAGCCGGCAGGAGGGGGAAAACAAGGCTGCCGTGGGAGTCAGCCAGGCCCCCAGGTCTTTTAGATCCAGCACCAAGTCATGCCTGTTTATTGGCCATTGGG